GTGTACGTAATGTGTTATAAACTAAAAGCGCCGTACTTGTCCATTCCTTTCCATAACATACGGGTCATGTTATGGATTTACCTCCTTTAGTTTCTTGTCTTCATTTCATAGATCTAATTAAAGCAACGGGAGAAATTGGTACATTGTAATTCTAACATGACAATGCACGATACTTGATCAGTATCTTGGACATATATGTACTAAGAATCTCCCCAATAAAATGAATTTACATAGAAATGAGAATTGAGAAAAATAAAGAATTAATATCGAAGAAAAACTAATTGAAGAATTAATATTTACTGAAGAATTAATATTATTGACCAAACAGGCCATTCGGTGCTAAAGTGTTAAGGATAATTAGATAAACAGGCTCATTAATTAATTATGCGATTATTTATTTAAAAAATTTATTCTATCATAGGATTTGGTTGTAATTTTTCTAAGACTTCATTACATACCATATTAATTTCGTAAAGTATTGAAATCCTTCTTCTTTTTTCTTCCTTTCTTTTGGTCTAATTTTGACAAAAAAAAATTGGCCTAATTAACCTTCCACACAATAACGAAGGAACTACAGAAGATTATCTTGGAGTAATTCTCAGGGGATATGCATGAGTCGAATCGAACTGAATTTTATAAAAAAACTGAACTGAATTGGTTTAAATTGTTCGATTCGAAACTTGTTCAGTTCAGTTCAAAACTGGTTCGGTTCGCAAGTGGTTTGGTTCGGTTCGAAACTGGTTCAGGTCGACCATATTTTGAAAAAAAAAATTAAAATATAAAAAAAAAGTTATAAAAATTAATTTGGTTCGGTTTGAAAATGGTTCGGTTCGGTTTGAAACGGTTCAGTTCGGTTCGGTTCAAAACGGTTCGGTTCTTAAACTGGTTATAAAAACCGGTTCGGTTCATGAACTGGTTCGTTAAAAACCGGTTCGGTTCATGAACTAATTTTTAAAAATTGGTTATTTTAAGGGCAGTTCGGTTCGATTTATGGTTCGGTTCAATTTTTTGGTTATTTTGCACACCCTTAGACTACTTCTCTTTTGATCTATTACAAGGTTTTTTTTTCCTTCCAAATTCTTTAGACATACTATATATAAATTAATTCTTATTCAATTCATTGTTCTTTTTTATATTTTATAAAAATCTAAATCTTTTAACATTGTGAAGGTTCTCAACTATTGATTTTAAATTTACTTACCACTAATTAAATCATCTAGGTGAAAAATCATCTAGTCTAAATCAAGGGCATTATAATTTCATTTATATTATCGGACAAGCCCTTTATTCTCATCCAGAACTTTTGGTGATCACTAATTAAAATCTATCCTCTTGTAGATGAATGGTTCTAAATTATGGTCAACACAACTACAAGTTGTCACAATCCCTAAACCAACAGCTGCCAGAATAGCTACTTATCGTTATCTTGATTCCATTGGTTGTTTATGTTAGTAACATATAGATGCATGTTTATGCATTTGTCGTTATCATCGTGCACGAATGCGTGTATCTAGCTATTAGGCTAGCCATTATTAAGATCATCATCAGAATTAGAATCATTGGCATTTATTTTCAAAACAGACTATATTTCAATTAAGCTAAATTCGAACATATTTATGTGAGAGGAAAACCTTGTTCATGATACAGCATGCGTTTATTAGAGACTTTAAATTTAGTGACTATAGTTTTGCACCCTTGCTCCAAAGCCCTCTTTTTTTAAAATAAAAAAATAATAATTATGTAGCCATATGTAACTTTTTTTTTCAATATGTTTATTTGATTAAAAAAATTATATTATATATATATATATAAAATATAATATAATATAATAAGATATTAAGAGGTATAATTAATATTTTACCCAACTTTAGGGGCGGGGAGAATGATGAACTAATGAGTAATAATATTCATTGAAATGATTATACAAATATTCATCCATATACAAATACTACACATAGTGTATTTTAGGAGTGTTTTAAAATTCGAAGTGGTCATTGGTTCAATCGAATTTACTATTCACATATTAAAAAAATATAAACATATTACTTATATTAAAAATTGACTTAAGAAAACTATCAGCTTCAAAAAATAAATTGATTTTCAATGATAACAAATATTATATATTTTTAGACTTTTAGCTCTAGACCATATCTTAATATTGGATTAAAATTGCAATGTAAGCTAAATGCATCTTTTATGCCTTGACATAACAGAGATAAAATAAATCATGGTAACAAATAGTAGGCATGAAATATACACTAAAAAGAAAGTGTCCACCGTTGAGATGAGACCATCAGTGTTTATCCCCACTTAACTTTTTGAGATCATCATAAGATACAACCAAATTACATAAACGAATGCACTAATCCCAAATACCTTCTTATTTTCACCTTACTTTTTGGGGACAGATTATATTTACAAACTTTTTTGTTTACAAACTCTTACAAACTACATTAAGTACGACCGATCATACTTTAATCATGCAGTGTACGACCGGTCGCACTTAGTATAATTTGCAAAAAAAGTTTGTAAACGGATCTTATCCCTACTTTTTAATCATACTTACCATAAAATATGAACATGATTTAATTAAAGAGTTCTCAGCAACCAAAAAATAAAATAAAAGATATACAAAAAAAGAAGAGGATCAACCGGTCTAACTCAGTTCAACTGGGTCACCAAGTCGCTGGGTCTCAATTGGGTCAACTGATCCAAATCGAGTAGACTGTAGAACCGGTCCAAATGATCGCTCGGACCGGGGAATCCACTAGGTCACCAAGACCTAGGTCGACCCGGTCGGTCCGAGCCGATTTTTAAAACACTGCATTTTAGTCATTGTATCTTCTACATGTTTTGTTTGGAAATCCCATTCAATTCCTGCAACAATTTTCATTTGTACATTTGTTTTATTTCATGTTTTGGGTGGAGCATAGATGTGTTGCAGCTTTTGTGTGGCATAATCTGAAATACTGTGCTGAGGAGGGTTTGTCAATTACCATGGACTTTTGGTAGAACTGGCCTTAAATATGGATTGTGATACATGAGGTATATAGTTGGGAGTGCATGTTCTTTTTAGTGGAAAGTGAAAACAATAGGGCCCTCATTTTCAAATTAAATCCTTACAAATGAACGGAAGGGAATATTAACATGTGATTTCCGAATAGCAGTGTGATGAACTGTAGTAAATGGTAAGATGTAATGTAACCCGACCAAGATCAAATAATCTTTAATATTAGAACAAATATATGTTCTTGAGGGATCTAATTTAGTAAATTAGACCTAATTCAATCAATATCACCAAATTATGTTTCCAATAAAATAAAATAAAATGCCAAATTAAGGAGGAGAAACTTCAACCCATTATAGGAAATCCTATCCAAAATGGATATCACATGAAAACCATTCTGAAATTTGTGAAAAGAAATTAAAGTTAGAAATTTAAGTCCAATTATTGGTACTATGCAGTTGAAGACCCTAATGCACCAGTGCAATTTATAGAGCAACTGAATTACATAAATGGGAACAGATGCCACAGATAGAACACAAATAAGATTAAGCATCAAACATTTATTTTCTAACGTGATATTTGTTCATACCTCCTTGTTCTGGAATCTGGCTAGCTAATTGATGGTCTTGTTAAACAGCCATTTTGACCAGCACCCATGACTTTGCTTTCTCTTGTAGTCTTATGTGCCAAATTGGTCAGAGATAAGGGCTTGATTGCTTCTCGGGTCTCTGTCCCTAACAAGCCGGGACAACGATTGTTTTGCTGGCAAAATTTTATCGGAATGTCATATTTTCTAAAAAATTTGCTAAAACACCACGTCACCTAAAAAACGCTATAACATCTAGCGTTTTAGGTTTGGACAGGTGATAATGAGTTTGAAGCCACATAAATTTGGTGATAATGAGTTTGAAGTCACGTAAATTTGCTGAACAGTCTAGTATTTTTCAACCATTAACACCCAATGAATTAATCAATTCTATATTGTTTATTGGAAAGTATTTGATATAATTGTATTGGGCTAATAACGGTAGGTTTGAATCATGCAACTGTTAAATATTTTTCATGCTTGTAGTATTTGAAAAAGTAAATCGTCTTTATTGTTTATTATATTTTTCAAAAAGAAAACAAAAAATAAATTATCATTGCCTGACACATTGACTGATTGAAAAATACTGAACTGTTCAGTGAGTTTACGTGATCTCAAACTTATTACTACATGTCCAAACATAAAATGCTTTTATAACGTGACATTTTGAAGAAAAAAAAATTAAAAAGCGTAACATTCCGATAAATTTTTGTCAATAACACTGTAAAATGGTCGTTGTTTCTGAAAAGTCACTACCCATCATCCTCACACGTGCATCGCCAGAGGCTATTCTTGTAAATAATAGGTGGTTCTTCCGCGTGAGAGCTGGCCCACTTTCTAAGCTACACCTAGCTGCTAGAGGCATCGATGCAACAAGATGTGCAGTACATTTTCAACATCTTGTACTTTTTCCATTCCCAAAAAGTCCAAGTGGAAACGTGGTAAAACAAAATATTGTATTTATATGAATTATTAAGTACATAATCAAACTTTAATGCAAGTACCAAAATATTCCAAACCATTCCATCTCTCAATAGGGGTTGAAACTTGAAAGTTGAAACTGCAATGTAGATATAAAATGGTTCAGTCTTTGAGTCAATTATTTTAATATCTCAATAAGAGAACCATACAAATGCTTGGTTCAGAGAGTGGAAAAAGAAAAAAAGAACCACGCTTAAGATAATTTGTGTCCTTGTATAAAAAGATTAGTGGTTATAATGAATCCAAATGCCAAACTGCTGTCCCAATAATTTATAGGTAGCTTGACATTTTATTGAAAAAAATGAACTATTAATGAAATGACAGTAGAAAAGAACATGGAAGATGCAGTTAAAAAAAAGAATCTGGTTAAAATTTAAAAGCTTTTTCTCAAGTTTCTGTCTGAGAACAAAAACTATATACAGAAGGCAAAATAGCAGAGGAAAACAGAGGAAATCAGAGGGTAAGGGTTGGGGTTGTTATAGTTTTTCTGGGTTTGGGAATCGTTTAAAGACAGAGAAGAAAGCCTGCTAGAGAATCCGAGACCCAAACATGGTAAAGCTTAGGAAGGGATGATCTGCATAGATTCACCTTTATTTTTCTTTCTTTTTTTAACCTCCCTAAGTACTGTGCAAACTACTCTGCCACAACCCACACCCCATCAGATAAACCGGACCATTCCATCCAAATTTTCCACCTTTCTCTTCTTTCTCTACTCTCTCTAGCTACCTGCATCTTTATTACACACCACACTGAAAGAAGATAAAGTAGTGAGAGAGTTGAAAAAAGGGTGTCATTTTATCTATCTCAGACAAATGAGCTAAAAGTGTTAGGTAATTTGTTTAGCTTGATGTTTGCATGGAACGTACTAGCCCTGGATGTTGTAAACCCTATTATTGGTTTATAGCTTCAAACACTACTCTTCATAGGGTCAGATTTTAAAGAAAGAGTGTGTGTGTGTTTGTGTGGGGGCGCGTGCTTGTGTCAGTCATATATCTCCCACCATCCCAGTGGTGCTGCTCTAGGGGTTTTCTGAAGTTTTTTTTTTTTTTTTTGTTTGTTCATGGAGAGGAAGAGAAATAACACTAGACTTGTAAACAAAACCCAGCTTTGTAACAGTGTGTGCTTCATTTTCATGCTCTCAATTTGCACACTGATCTTCACAAGTACTACTGGCTCCGCCAATACATGTCTAGGTATGCAATTCTTCCACACCCTTTTTAATCTGACATTTACACAATGAATTATCCACCTCTATAAAACTTCTTAACCCTATATGATACTATTTCAAATGATAGATTTATGACATATTCATTTAATTCATACCCCTTTGTCCCTTCTCCATTGCAGATACTAGGCGTCCCATGTTTGCCAAAGCTGATAAAGATTTTCAGGTATAGACTAGTCCTATTCTTTATCCATCCAGCACAAACATGTTTACTAATTACTATTTCTCTATGTCCCTGGCTTATCTTTAACTATTGCATGTAGCATCAAATTAAAACAACACTTGTTTTTATTTTAATTATGCTAAATAGGTCTAACGGTAAAGATTTAGATTTTAGACTTGAGACAGAACTTTTCAATTGAAATTATATGCTTAATAAAAAAAAAAGGGTTCTATTTTTTGGTCTAAAATAAACTAGTGATGGACGACCATGGTTGTGGTTTTGTGCAAGTAAACTGTGGAAGTTTGAAACTGTGTTATGCAACTGAAACAAGCCTTGGATGGTGACAGTCTTCAAAATCTCACTCCTCACCTCATAGTTACACAGACACACTGATAGAACTAACAGACACTGGCTAAAATGCGCCAAAATAGGTTCAGGGGTGTCCAGGGACACGTGGGTGGTGGTACCATGTGCAGCCATTGGCTCCACCGCTGTTGGCTTATCCACACTATTCAATCATGTTCAACATCACCAGCGCAACACGCTAACGGTGCACGTTAGAATCAAACAAGAAATTGCCTGTTGCTCACCGCGACTCGAATCTTGGTAACTTGCGCCTACTGTACCTGCTCAGCGTCTTCACCGCAAAACTACGATACTACTAGTATTTCTTTTTTATCTCCCTTTTTCAAAAAAATAAAAAAATGTGTGTAAACTTTTTCAAATATTTTAATTCGATCACGTTTTTTAAAAAATTTCATGATAACATTTTCCTACTATGATAGCCGAGTCATGTTCATACGGATGCATGTTAGCTTGTTTCAATGTATATGTTGCTGATTTGGATGTAGCCCACCTTATCACAACACATCCATGCTAGAGATAACGAGGTTCCACTTCAAGGTTACTAATTTTAATTGTCATTTCATGAATTGTTAAATATTTACTATTCACATTATCTGATATATTTATCATTATTTTTCATTTTAAAATTGATTGTTATTGGATAAAAAGAAAGGGGATGAAAGTTGTAATTAGGGGGTTTAAATTGTCCCGGCCAGGTTAGCCTTTGGTCAATGTAGGTTAGATATATGTAAAATATTTTGAGTTTAGTATGAGCTATTAGCCTTAACCTAGCCTATATTTGAATATCAAAAGACTTTACCCAAGCCTATCAACTTGTTTAAGCCTTCAATACTTATTAAGACCTTAAAAAAACATAAAATAGTATTTTTATTAATTAAAATTAAATAAATTATTTTATTTCATTTTATTTTAATTAAAATAAATAATACATCATAGACAGAGATTATTATTTCAGATCTTGTAAAAGTAGGTCCAAACCATGTGTTCTAAACAAGTTTTTCAAGGTACAAGCATGTTTTATTTTACTAAATATATTATGCTAGATATGATGTAATATTGGTCGGATTGTGAGTCCCTAATAAAGCATTTGACCTATTTACATCCCCCGTTGTGATTATCTTAACCGAGAATTGATTATCGGTTAATTATGATTTTTGGTCAGGAAGTTGAGAAGGAAAATGGACAAGGAAAAATAGAGGTATCTATGGGTTGGCCAAGGAGGCTTCTAGGTGGGCCTGGGTCATCGCCGCCACGGTGCACCTCCAAATGCGGCCAGTGTACACCCTGTAAACCAGTCCATGTGCCGGTGCCGCCAGGGACGCCGGTGACTGCCGAATACTACCCGGAGGCATGGAGATGCAAGTGTGGCAACAAGTTGTACATGCCATGAATATATTTTCTCTATATATGATGTATTTAATTTTGTTCAGTCATATAGTTCACTTTAAGGACTATAAAGATTCCCGTCACTTTGATCAGTTATGGATTAGCTTTTAGCTTGTGGTAGATGTCGGATATGAAAACAGAGTACAAAACTTGATTTGATGTGAAATATATAATATGAATATATATATTTTCACACTGATATATTAATGTTACTAGCAGTAAAATTATGTTGTTACATATTTGGTTATATGGATTTTTTTCGTCAGTTGTCTCTTCCTATTGAACTTTTTAATGCATCAAGTGGTGGAATCTGGGAAGACAAGTTCATTCAACAGGACCATTTGCAGTGTCAGTTCCTTTTCTGTTGCCAGATATTAGTGGTCTGAACTCTGAAAGTGTTGCCAGCACTTTGCAGCTTCTTTTAGTTTTATCCCTCTTGGCTTTATTTGTTTATTTTATTAAGAGATTTCATGCATCAACAGATTGAATTAGTACACAGCAAAAATTAAAAGACATTTAACAACACACCCCATTATGGTTTACATGTAACATATGACATTACAAAAAACATAAGATACCTATACTATCTCTTACAAAACTTTGTTTCTGGTATTTAACAGCTGCCATGTCTCTTAATAAGTTTCCACGACTATTTCGTATAATTTCATAATAAGTGTATATTCCAGTATTTAACTTTTTTTTTTTTGAAATAATCGTATTATGAAATTCTATATGAATCTCTTGTAAAATTCATTTTCTGCAGTATTACTTTTAAAAATAATGCTTTAACACAATTAATTGATTCTTATTAAATCAAATATAATACTTAATAACTCATTTTTTAAAATTTTCTGATCAAAATTTTTATCAAAAAGTGTAAACAATGTGACTGAAATGAAATGCATGATGTGAAGGAGAATGACATTGTTTAACTTATTTCGCTGGTCTGTTCTCATATATGCGTTGACTGATTCTGCGTAATACCATGAGTAAGATAGTAGTGCTGAAATCAAGTTTTTACCATCTTTTTACTTCAATTTCAACAGAACATTAATTAACCATTAATATAAGAAAAGTGAGCGTTAAAGAAAAACCCATATGTGTAATATCACCAAGGCTGCTCAAGTAAAGTTTTTATGTTCTTTTTACTTCTATATTAATCACATTAAATTAAATACTAATTCTTATAGGTTATATTTATAAATTTTTTATTTATAAATTTAACTATGCACTTGAGTAATTGTATTCTTCGAAGCATATAGTTGAGTTTGTAAATAAAAAATTTATAAATATAACTTTTTTCTTCCTGTATATATTATAAAAAATGTGTGTTCACTATACAAATCAAACAGGGATTTAGTGAGTATCCTTTTAAAAAACATAAATTATATCTTTGTAGCATTTTCAACTATGTATTTTTGAAAATACATATTTATAATACTAGAGTTAAAAAAATTTCACTTTTCATGTCGTAGTTAAAAATTATGCATTCTTAAAATTACATAATTAAAAATTATTAAAATGATATAAACTTGTATCCTTTAAAATTACAATTATTTTTCCATCAAACAAATAGCCCTTTTCTGAAATAGGATGTAAATATTTTAAATGAAACAAAACAAATTTCAAAAGTGAGCAATGAATGATTCCAAAAGTAACTGAAGTGAAACATCAAGATCACAAGCTTTGGATAGGTCAAGATTTGGCAAGTAGGACCCATGCACGGTCAACCTTAGGAAGGTGATGCTTTAATTATGGGACAGAGGAGTTCATTCATAACCAACAAACAGTGATAAAGTATTTGGAAAGATTATTTTCGCATTGAAAGCTCAAACCAGAAGTGGTGGCCAAATTTGGACACGACACCACCCCTTTCTACATTAGGGCCTTGAGTCTATGTGCAGAATTGTCTAACTTCAACCGGTGATCACGGGAGAACAATATTATACCGCATGTTTTGATTAAATTTTTTTTAAATATTTTAAAAAATTGGGAGAGTTAAAAAAACAATAACCATTTTTTTAAAAGTAATATTTTTCAAACATAGATAGTTGTGCCTTATTTTGGAAAAAAATTAGAAGGTCTTCTGAGTATATTTTGATGAAGTTCTAATTTATACTATTTATTTCGTTGTATATGTGATTTTATTTGTTATGACTTATTATAAACCACTTAAATTATTAATAACATTCAATAATTCATGAACGTAACCACTTAAACTGATTTACGCATTATTCCTTTTCAAGACATAACCTTTTAAGTGCGAGACTACTTTCTTCAATCATATAATAATAAGCATAAATCCTCATATTTTGAAGATAGGGGTTACTGGTTAGTACCCTTCCAGAGATGTTGTGAAACCAATAACTTAATGCATGTGAGTGTAACCATACTCTGTATGAAATTCTATGAATATTTGAAGAAGTAGATTCCACCCTCCACAACTCATTATTATTATTATTTTGAAAAAAAATACGTGCCGCGGTTCTCACTTTATGGGACTTATTAATTATTTTATATTATTAATGCAAAATTATTTTAAAGGGTTCGCTTTTTCTGTAGTTACTGCAGATAAGTTATATGCAGTAAGCCCAATACCTATGAAGCACCGACATTTCAAAAACCCTAACGTGTCGTGTCCGACACTTCGCGATACTCTCGGACACTCCGACACTCCAACACGCGTTATTGAAATTCAAAAAATGGTTCAAAGGTTAAATTGTGTTGAGTTTTTAGTTCCAACTGTTAGATTCGTTAGATTACGATTACCATTTTATTAGTTTAATATAAATATTTGAAATATCTTATGTTTCTTTGCAAAATTTATGAATATTGTAAGTTTAGATACATTTTTTTGTTAAATTATTGAATATTAAAGATAATATATACTACATAAATTAAATATATTATTTAATATCTAAACGTGTCCTAACGTGTCAAAATTTAACATTTTTTAGAATTAACGTGTCGGAGTGTCGTGTCGTATCGTGTCACGTGTCCCGTGTCAGTGTCGGTGCTACATAGCCCAATACAACGTCGTTTTGGGGCACAAATCATGGTGTATTTTTAATTTTAATTTATTTCAGGGTTATTATAGTCTTTATAATTATAATTTTTTAATCTTTCAATACTAAAACAACGTCATTTTAGAAGGAAATACAGATAACTTATCTGCATTAATTGGAGAAATAATTTTATGTATTTTAAAAGTGCAATTGATGTTGTCGAACACTCCAACCCATATCCTCGCCATTGAAATTTATAACGCCAACCACTAAACCACAATAATTTATTAAATTTTATTATATTACCATACAACACTTAAATTATTTTTTCTATCTTAACATATAACAAAAATAAATTCTAAAAAATTTATTTTAAAATAATTTTCCTGAAATTTGATTTCATCAAAAAATTCATAAATATAATTTTTTTAATTTATTTTATTTATATTGGTTTTCGAAGGAATTCGTTTTTCGTCGAAAAATTTATAAATATAATTTTTTATTTATTTATTGTTTTATAAAGTTTTCGACGAAATTTTTTCCGTCCAAAATGTTCGACTGAATTTGATTTCCATTGAAAGATTAACAAATATATTTTCTAAAAATATTTTAACGGAATTTATTTTCCGTCGGTAATTTTTGACAAAATTCATTTTCCTTCAAAATTGCCGTGGTCAATTTTGACGGAATTCTGTCAAAAATTGAGATTTTTCTAATAATGTGTCTTAAGAATTGTACCGTTAATGTAAAATTATTGTATTATTCTTGCATTATTGTTTCATGCGTAAGTGAATTAAAAAAATAAAAGGTATAACTTTTTTTTTTTTAACATAATTTAGTGGATAATAAAAATTCAGAATTTTAACTACCAAAATAAAATTCCAGAATTTTATCATTTCTCTTAAATTTTTATTTTCAATACTTGTACTATTCGTTTTCTCTTAAATTGAATTCTATATACTTGTACTATTCTAAAACTTAAATAAAGTATAATTTCTCATATTATCCGTTTTTTATTCGTTTAATTTAGTAACGAAACCGACCTTGACATTTGTCGTACACTTCGGTTTCATTTAGTCAATTATGATCTTTAAATTCTAATATGTGGATACTATATAGAGTTCAATTTAGAATCGACAGTTGATAATATATAGCTCATTTGAAACCATTTAGGATTAAACCTTCGATTCAAGCCCAGGACATCTTGGACGTGCCTCGAGAGAATTTTTGCCATAATTTCTACACCCATAGATACCTACCTAGCTTAAAGGACAAAGCCTTAACAAAAACTTTAAAGTTGTGTTTGGTTGAAGCTTTTTGTGTAGATCCCTATCTATCTCAGTTTGGCAATCCACGTTGCCTTTGTTTGGTTGAAGAGAAACAATATTTTAGCTATCAAACTCACTTCCCCATCCATTCAGGAATGCATACAAAAATGGAAGGAAATCACTATTGAACTTTGTCATTTGTAGTGTGGTATTTGGAGAAAACCATCTAAATGAGAAAAGGTGAAGGACAAACGTGACCATATCACCCCCTCTTCTGACTACTATCATCTCAGACTAACCCTCCACTACCAAAACCCAAAGTATATATCTGAAATAAAAATATCATACTAAATGGCGACAACATCACTAAAGCATCTACTTGTTATGGTGGAAGGTGAGGTAACTCAATCTCAGCTTTCATTCTAAGTTTCACTCCAGTGAAATCTGATGCGCTATTCGAGTGGTCTCCTTGCGCTGATTCAATAGCAGCTGGGTCGTGCTGAATGAGGGAGAAAGCCCAAGGTTCGGATAAAACCTTTGATCAACGGTCAATGTGTTCATTTCTCGAGTGGGAAAGGGGAATCCAAAGAAAGGAAGATAAAGAGTCAAACAAAAAGTTGTTTTTATGTTATGAAAAAAAAATTTGAGAACACAAGATCTCTTTCACCCTTTGAACTTGGAGACAGACAGAGATATGGAAGCTTAGATGAATGGCGCAACTGATAACCAACGGCATCCTAACCATTATTTTATTTATGCAATAGTTGTTCTCGTTGAAATATTGTAAGGTGGTGTTTGGTTCAGGGAAACCAAAAATTTCCCCATGCAAATGAAGATGGTTTTCTAGAAAGCACTTGTTTGGTAGAGGGATTCAACCAAGTTCCATCAATCACAAATGCATACCATTCCTAGATTTGGTCATCGATAACCAGGCATTG